ATATATATATATATACAGGGTGTCCATAAAGTTCGTGTGCACTTTAAAAAATTTATAACTTTATTTGTATTTATGATAGAAATAATCTGTAAAAAAAATGTTATAAAGTTTAATGTACCTAGTTTTAAGTACAGTTATTGAATAATTCTGTACAACAAAATTTGCAACAATTTTTAGATAAGTAAAAAAAAATTTTCTTTATTTCAGAATCGATCAAATGGCTTCAACTGAGGAAAAAGTAAACTGTGTCCTTTGGTTGGCTGAACTGAAATCTACTATTGCTGTACAAAGAAAGTTTAGAATTGAATACAATAAAGAATCATCTCATAGGAACACTATTGCTAAATGGATAAAAAAATATTTAAAGAGACAGTCTCCGTCCATGATAAACCACGGTGTGGAAGGTCATGTATCAGAGACGAAAGTGTTACATCCATAAACTTAAATAAAATTTCGATAAAACCTTAAAACATATAGATTTACTTCTTTCTAATCCTTTTTACAAATTATTTCTATCGCAAATAGAAAAATAAGTTATAATGAACATGAACTTTATGGACACCCTGTATAATAAATTTTATCAGTCTTATTATCAATATTATCATTTAAATTGTTTTTTTTTTTATCTCCCGAATTTCTTTTTCATCTGCACAATACAAACACACACATACACACCTATATATTGTGTATTTGGAAAGCAATCTCTCTTTTTATATAAGTCTCATTAAAAACATCGAACAAGATACTGGGGTTAAGTTTTTATTGAATTTTTCTTGTGTTCTTACAATTTCCCTTTTTTTCTGGGTTCAAATTATGTAGAAATTGTCCTAATATTTGCTGACCGTGTTTTGAAAATAAAACATTCGTACAACTCTAGGTATATTTATAGAGAGAGAGGCATGTCCGAAAATTCCGATTTGTAAAATCTTTCGCACCATACTTTCATTTAGTTTGGTTTGTTTGTTTTACTGCATATCATCCACAATGGGCCATTTAATGCCGACAACATATTTTTCCTGGTAATATTTTTGTTTTGTCAAAAAATCAAAAATCAAAAAATGTTAATATTTTTTTCCTCCAAAATTTATAGCTGGTAATATTATTTTTTCAAAAACGTATAGCTGGTAATAGTTTTTCAAAAACGTATTGCTGATAATAGTTTTTTTTTCAAAAACGCATTGCTGGTAATATTTCTTTTCCTTCAAAAATTTATTTCTGGCAATAATTTTTTACAAGGTATTTCTGCTATTAAAACTTATTTTTTACACTTTTATAATGCTTTTTACCTCAGTTTCAGGGTTAACTATTTGCCCATAGCTGGGACCCTAACAGGTGCTACCACCTCGGGTGAGGGTGGACCTGGCAACACCAGCAATTAAGAAGTTGTTTCACACTTCTCAAAGCCTCCTGATCAAAGTCCTTGCTGTTGGACGTAGTATACCTGGACGCGGGTATATCGTCATACCCAGGACGCGCTTTCATTTGGTCAAAAGGCCAACAATATATATATATATATATATATATATATATATATATATATATATATATATATAATGGTTGGCAGCGAATCTAAAAGGAGTACAACTCTGTATTCAACAAATTATGTAGAAATTGTCCGAATATTTGCTGACCGTGTTTGGAAAATAAAACATTCGTACAACCCTAGATATATACAGTGTAACCCGGATATAAGAGAGTTGTCGGGACCAGAGAAAATCTCTTATATCCGGGTTTCTCTTATATCCGGGTTTGGTCTATTATATATACATTAACGCAGGCTCTAATTTGGGACCAGAGAAAATATCCGGGTTTCTATTTATATCCGGGTTTGGGACCAGAGAAAATCTTATATCCGGGTTTGGTCTATTATATACATTAACGCAGGCTCTAATTTGGGACCAGAGAAAATATCTCTTATATCCGGGTTTCTCTTATATCCGGGTTTGGTCTATTATATATACATTAACGCAGGCTCTAATTTGGGACCAGAGAAAATATCTCTTATATCCGGGTTTCTCTTATATCCGGGTTTGGTCTGTTATATATACATTAACGCAGGCTCTAATTTGGGACCAGAGAAAATATCTCTTATATCCGGGTTTCTCTTATATCCGGGTTTGGTCTATTATATATACATTAACGCAGGCTCTAATTTGGGACCAGAGAAAATATCTCTTATATCCGGGTTTCTCTTATATCCGGGTTTGGTCTATTATATATACATTAACGCAGGCTCTAATTTGGGACCAGAGAAAATATCTCTTATATCCGGGTTTGGTCTATTATATATACATTAACGCAGGCTCTAATTTGGGACCAGAGAAAATATCTCTTATATCCGGGTTTCTCTTATATCCGGGTTACACTGTATATATATATATATATAGAGAGAGAGAGGCATGTCCGAAAATTTGTAAAATCTTTCTCACTATGCTTCCATTTGGTCAAAAGGCCAACTAATATATAATAAATATTATTAGTTTTATTATCAATATTATTATTTTTGTTGTTTTTTATCACTCGTATTTCTTTCACCGACCTATTCTACAACGTATACGTGAACAATCTTTCTTATATATATGTATATATAGGCATCATTTAAGTTTTATAGAATTTAATTAAAAATTTTTTTCTATTTTCTTCCTTTTTTATTTGGATTTTTACAATTACATTATGACTCATAATGTAACTAACTGTCCAATATTCGTAATGTTTTGTAAAGTGTACAAAACGAGATGTTAAATACTTGTAATGAAAACTACTAATTTCAAAGACAAATTTTTCTTCTTGAATGGGCGTAATTCTTCAGGATGTTGCCGATTATGGCTCTTCACAGTTTCCTGTCTTTTGTTAGCAGGAAAAGGAAAAAATAAAGTTAGTCTAGGGGAGATAACTCTGATTATTTTTAACTACCAGCGTTTAACTAGAGCCGTTTATTTATTTATTTTTTTTTAACTCGAGTTTTGGTTTTGAAAAAGCAAAAATCTTATAAATTCTTTCAAAATAAATCAAACTGTTTTTTTTACTTGGTAATTATACGAAAGTCAGTTTCATAATCCTTTTTATTGATTAATTAATTTAATAATTATTGCAAGCGATCAAACAAATCAGACAAAAAAATACAGTTTTTACGTTTTTTGCAGTAATATCTGGGCTGGGACAGTTCAATACTCTTTTTACAGAAAAAAAAACAAAACATTTACGCGGCCTTGTGGACAATGAATTATTTTCAACCGTGCAGCCCCTTTTCTCACAGACGAAACATTGCAAGCCTTTCTCTCTACTTTCTATTTCTATAGAAAATGTTCATACAAACCACGTTCCTCGATTCTCCCATTCCAGACCTTCACAGCTGGGACCCACCAGAAAAGTACCATCAATTCAATTCCTATTCATTCGCTTCGTATCCAAATTTTTAAGGAGGAAATTTTAGTCAGACGACTTCTAATACAATTGCGACATAAAGAATGAATTTCTAATAAAAAAAGAAAGAAACTTATTAAGCCGAAAATGTTGTATTATTAGTAGTATTACTATTAATAATAATAATAATAAAAATAATAATAATAAGAATAAGAATAAGAATTAGAATAATGAGAATAATAATAATAATAATAATAATAATAATAATAATAATAATAAGAATAAGAAGAAGAATAAGAATTAGAATACTGAGAATAATAATAAGAAGAATAAGAATTAGAATTAGAATAATAATAATAAGAATAAGAATAAGAATAAGGATAAGAATTAGAATAATAATAAGAAGAAGAAGAAGAAGAAAAGAAGAAAAGAAGAAGAGGAGGAGGAGGAAGAAGAAGAAGATCGTCTGAGACATGCCGAATCAAACTGAAAATCGGAATTGCGAGTTGGGCATAAAGTACACGCTTTCCCAAATAACTGTTGCTAACCAATTGACGATTGCGTTTGAATGCATTTTACTTGTGGTCGGTCAGCATTCACAGGGCATTTGTTTGTGTGAAATATATATGCATACGTATATCAATAAAAAGAGACAAGAGGAAAACTATTCTTCTTTTTCCTCTTGTCTCTCTTTATTTATTTTGTCTCTTTACAGGTATACTCTATCTGAAAATAATTTAGACACACACACACACACACACACACACACATATATATATATATATATATATATATATATATATATTTGATGAAATGGATTAAATCCGGCAAATATTTTAATATATTTTCTGTTTAAACGTTATTTTTATGGATACAACTTATTTAAGTAAATGCACTGTTTTTAATTAAAACACATATTAATTAAATTTACCAGCCTGAATGTTTGAGAAATTTCGTAGAAAATACATGTTCTTTGACAGGAATTGAAACCTGTATCCCATATGGAAACCGTCATTCGGACTGAGGTACTGTTAACCATTCAGCCACAGAGAACTTTACATTTTGGAGTAGAAATGATATATCGAGAAAAATTGTTCAAGATGTGTGTTTATTTTGCTAATCAGAAAATTCAGGAGGGTAAATAGAGAATGGTAAATGGAGAATTCCGGTAAGATATCTTTTATCTTCTCTAAGATAAACGGTTCAAAGCTTAATGTAACAATTGGTCAATTTTGCTTTTACACGATTTGGACAATTTTGCTGTTACACCGGGCATGTATGAGTTTCAGTTGAAGTCTGGAATGTACTCGAGCCCTAATAGACGATCGACCGGTTCTCGTACAATTGTTGCGGATGTGTAAGAAAGAGAGAGATGAATGAATAGAAACACGATGGAGCTTACACGTGTTCTGTTTTTATAATTTTGTTGTACCACGTGACAGGCTCAAATGGAGGACGCTGGAAAACAGATCTGTCGCGTGCAGGCGGTTTGATTGGTCGGAACTGACCAATCAGCAAGCTAGATTGAAGGTGATTAACCAATGAATGCATGTTATTTATTTTGTAAGATTGTGATGGTGAAAATTAGAACAGGAATAGTGCATTTCCTAGAAGGGGTTAACTGGCTTGTTGTGGAAGATTCCATACAATCACCGAAGTTAAACAGCGTTGAGACTGGTCAGTACCTAGATGGGTGACCGCTTGGGAATACCAGGTACTGTAAGCTTTGATATGCAGGTGGTGTAATGGTTAACAGCTCGAAATTGGAAATCGAAGAGCCGAATTCCAATTCCAGTTGGATTCGTTATATCCACTTACGCGCAAATAACCTTGGGAAAGATATGAATCCACCTCTTCTCCCCCAGCTATGGGTTAATTACGAGAACTTAACTTAGTAAATCATTATTATTTCCAAAAAGAAATTTTTACCATCTAAAAATATTCTCTGGCTTTATATAGCATGCAAAGGGTTGATAAGCCGTAAAAACAAATCAGTCTATGGTATATTTGTATTTACTACCCCCACGAGGTCAGGTTGTGATACAAGGTCGGTTTAATGTGGGGAGCCCGAGCGCGTAGACCCAGGCTAGGAACAAAAATTCCCCGAGCCCCAGCAACGGGCGTTTGTGCTGGTCTCGGTGCGTGCAATGTGCAATGAGAGGGCAAGGCCTCGGGCAGCTGTTCCGCAGGGCCGACACTTCTCAGTATAATTTTCTTCAGTTGCGACTCTGTCCTTTGACGGAGCCGCCCCTGAGCGTACTCTGTCCAAAGACAGAGATGCAGTTGAGAGATGATAAATAATGTGTTATAAAATGCTCAAGAGATCAATTTATACAATGTGTTGTATATAAATACAGAGAGAGCAGCATTAATTGTTTTCTTATAAAACACAACGAATTAATATTATTGATTTATTATTAATAGCATGATCAAGATTTTAGTACAGCTCATATCTTTTCTTAATTCTGTTAATTCTTGCATCTTAGTGGCATTATGGCCTTCCTTAGGCTGAAATGATTCAAGAAAGAAGAAACGACAACAAAAAAACTTTACATGAACCTGTTCTAGCCAAAGTTTACATGTGCGAAAAAGTGTATTCATTAATACCATGTCCCTTCAAAGCGTGGGAGATCATGTCTCTCCACAGTTTCATTCTCTTTTATTACCTGTGAATTGCCATGCGTTCTTGGGAATTATAGTGGAATGGCTTGCCTTTACTTTCTTCGCGGTTTGGAATTCAGAATTTCCCTTTTCTTAGACTTACCTGTTTTTTTCCTTCCGAAAATAAAACTTCTTGTTGTTGTTGTTGCTGCTGCTGCTGCCGCCGCCGTCGTCGCCGCCGCCGCCATGTCCTTTCAGGACGTTGGCGTGCATGGCTCCATACAATTTCCCGCCTTTTGCAGCTTTTAATAAACTTTTTAATAAACTTTCAAAAACGCATCGGATGACAAATATGCATCTCATTTTACATTTAACGTAAAAAAAAAATCTCAACCTACACGCACGTTATATAGAGAGACATTTGGGAACTTGGACGTGATGTAATGGTTAGCAAGATTGTCTCCCCAGTTCAGTTACGACTGAGTAGTGAGTTAGATCCTCACTGGGTAGCCCATACTCTCGGGTTTGTATCACATCTAAGCTAAGAAATTCATTTGGGCCCTTTGACGTGATGTAATGGTTAGCAAGATTGTCTCCCCAGTTCAGTTACGACTGAGTAGTGAGTTAGATCCTCACTGGGTGGCCCATACTCTCGGGTTGTTATCACATCTAAGCTAAGCTAAGAAATTCATTTGCGCACTTTGACGTGATGTAATGGTTAGCAAGATTGTCTCCCAGTTCAGTTACGACTGAGTAGTGAGTTAGATCCTCAACTCTCGGCTTTCTATCACACCTAAGCTAAGAAATTCATTTGGGCCCTTTGACGTGATGTAATGGTTAGCAAGATTGTCTCCCCAGTTCAGTTACGACTGAGTAGTGAGTTAGATCCTCACTGGGTGGCCCATACTCTCGGCTTTCTATCACATCTAAGCTAAGCTAAGAAATTCATTTGCGCACTTTGACGTGATGTAATGGTTAGCAAGATTGTCTCCCCAGTTCAGTTACGACTGAGTAGTGAGTTAGATCCTCACTGGGTAGCCCATACTCTCGGCTTTCTATCACACCTAAGCTAAGCTAAGAAATTCATTTGCGCACTTTGACGTGATGTAATGATTAAGCAAGCCTGTCTCGTTAAATCGATATATCATGATTTATTCTCAAAACTTTCGGTTATAGTAATAATTACATATCTTTGTTGTTTACGCCAATGATTATATATTCGTGTTGTAGTATACTTGCTTATATAATCCGAGATTTCATAGGTAGACTTTATTAAGCGAGTCTATCAAAACCTTCATTTAAGCTAATAATTACCTATCCTGATTGTTTGCTTATATAACCCGGGATATCACGGTTAGAATTTATGAGGCAAGTCTATTAAAACCTTCATTTACCTAATTTAATTAACCTGTACAGTGTGATGATTCTCAGAGAACTCCCTATAAGCTGTGGTACTCTGTATCCCCCTACCTGGATTGACTCTTGAGCCTTGTACAGGATGAACATTATTATTAAAAAAGAAAAGAAAACATATCAGGATCTATTATCAACGGACATGACCATAACAACATAATGTACGCAACCGATACTGTGTTGATTACATATTCAGAAGAAAGAACTATTGAACAAGTTGAGAGGAGCAAGAAGAAAGAAGTGTTTAAATCCAAGGGGAGAGAATTCATAGTTATTAGCAAAAGAGACAATGAAAATGCGAGTTAGGTCAAATTCAATTCGTAGCGGTAATTGAACTCTGGGTCGGGTAGAAATAGACGACAAAAAGTGTCACATAGAAAGTCGAAGGTGCTTGGCAATAGGGGAAGATGCCTTTCGGAAATTGAGGAAAATTCCATGAACGGAGCGAGGAAGTTTAAAAGAAAATGGCAACAGAACGAACACTTCTACCCAGAACAAGGCAAAGACAGCTGAAATTCTTTGGGGATATAATGATGAAAGGAAGGCTTGGGAAACTTAATCCTGACGAAAGCAAGGGAATATAGGTGAAGACATTGAGCTACTTACCTGACGAGCTTATGTGAATGGAAAGCGGTGGGGCGGAGGGGTTGGATTTGGAGTGAAAAAAAAAACTGCTAAAAGACACAAGGGGCAGGAAGTTGTGGAGAGCTATAATCGCTTATATCATGTAGCTACATAGAAGAAGGAAAAGAAGAAAGCTAGCATTACAATATTTATTTCTGTAAAATTACAGAAATTGTGGCACAAGGCCTAAAAAGAGAATGGGGAAAAGGACGGTCTTCATCTGTCTTAATTATAAACTTAGCTAGTCACAAGCACTGACCCAAGCATACAAACAATATTCCTAACATCAAAACACCACATTCTTACTAGCATTTCTTACTACTGTAGGAATCCTTCTACTAGGTTTTAGGTTGAATGTTAAAATTTGGAGTGTCGGGATTCAATACATTAATAAAATATCATTACAGGGTCGCTCGTAATTTGGCCGTCTAGAATAATCAAACGCTTTTCATTGAAAGAATAAAATTCAGTAGAAAAGACGACGTAGTTTCAACAAATAAACATTGATTTAATATAACGATAGGAATACAAACAGTTGATAATAGATTGGAAAGTAATGTCTTTTGTTTGGGTTGATAAAGTTCTGAAATAAAATATAAACTGTCTTTGTGTACGTGTGTGAGAAACAATAAAATGTTGTGATGTGTGTGTTTGTATGAAAAAATCAACATGTGTGTGCGTGATACATAGTAAAAACGGATACGAAAGATACGAATTGTTTCTTACTGTTGGCGGTTATGCCGTGGTCTGGAGTTTGTCAACGCTGTCGTTTTTAACATGAGGTCATGAAGGTCATCAGCGAGAGGTGTGTGTAGTTTGCTGGCAGCCGCGTGTATATTGTTTTGGGAACGGATTTCGTATGTTTTTATACACTTTTTCCGAACAATATCGGATCCAGAATTAAATTATTTATTTATTCCTAATTGGCCCTAAGAAGTCACGTCGTATGTCTTCTACTACGTCCGTACGATATTTGGTCGGTAGCTACCTAAAAATGATGATGACTAATACAACAAACATTCTGATTTGTAATCTATGATTTTATTGGTGTGTTTTAAGATGTAAGTGTTTTCTTGAGTGTGATTGGTTTATAAATATTGTAGTTGATATTTTAGTGGACACGACACTACATCCACCATAATACCTCATTGTCTCAATGAAAATCCTAAATACTCTCAATTACACGTGCCAGGCAAAACGACGACCATATTTAAACCGTTTCGCAACTGGGCTGGTTATCATGTCTGCATAAATAAGTTAAGATTTTGGTCTTCTGAATTTGGAATCATTAAATGTAAAAAAAAGCCAACACGAAATGAAAGAAATAATAAAAAAAAACAATGTATCAACAACGTAATCTTCTCTACTTAAAATTGAATCTGTTATGGTAACACAAATTGTGTTCACTTATCATTGATTAATGATGTTGTTACTATTACAATCGACTAAGAAGAAAGGATCAGGCTTTGTGACCGAAATATATAAAAATCAATTTTTTTTCATATTATAGAAAAGTTATAGTATTACTCCTATCTACGGATTAAATAGTAGAGTAGACTTGGTTCTCTAGCTTCGGGAGGCAGCCAGTCTAAATGAAAGACTCCTGTGAATTTGTTATCGGTGGGCGTAATCTTAACAATATAAGATACGCAGATGACACAGTCTGAGAGACAGTTACATCAGAAAGAAAACTACAGAACTATGATTTGGAAAAGACTTGGAGAATTTAACACTCTCAGGAAATAATGAAGGCACAATGGACAGAATGAAAACACGATTCGAAAAGAAAACTACAAGACCACCTAGAGAATGTAGTCGAAGAAAGCGAGAGAAAAAAAAAGGATTAATCATCAACTGCAAGAAGACAGAAATTATGGTCATCAGCAAGAGAAAAAACCCAAGATGCGAGTTACAAATTGGAAATATCAACATTAAACAGGCGCATAAGTTTACATATCTGGGAAGTGATTTTAACAGAGGATGTGACACCGAGATCCGAATACGTATTAGACTAGCGAAGGAATTATTCCAAAAGCGAAGCAAGGTACTGAGAAACCCAAAAAAAAAAAAAAATGAGTACTGGATT